AAAATATACTAAATAGTAAACAATTAAGTTGTGACCTGGAGCAAAAGGTATGGTTTAAAAATATAATTCAATGTTATTTTAACTTTGGTGCTAGCAAGGTCAAATCTAAACACAGACAAGGAAAATTATACAAATTCACCATATGCACCCAGGATTTTTCATTATATATTAAATTACCAAAATTCAATATTCACCATAATACATCCTTGTTTCCAAGTTACCACTTGCAGTAAAAAATAGCATATGTTCTAGTATTTTGCAGTTATTTTATGCCCATGTTTTTGTTTGTTTTTTTATCTAGTGGCCAAATTAAAGGTCACCCAGAGAGATTATGAATAGTATAAGAAACATCTGGATTTTAAATCCTTATTATTAGTGTGTATATTTACTTTCACTCCATTTCTCCTAAGTTCTCCTGGTTTGCTTACTATCATACCTCATCTAGATTAATGAATTGCTTGCTTTACTGTCACTACTCTGTAGCCATTTTTAAAAATTACATTTAGTTCTAAGAGCAATAAATTAAAAGGATTTAAGAACTTAAAGGCATGAGTTTCCATTATTTTACTAAATTCACTACTCTGGTGGCAAACAGAGTTAGATGTCATTTCTAACTTGGTCTTTTTGTTGATTTTTTTTTTTTCTATTCTACATAGATCACTTAGCAATGACATCCTATATAATAAAGAGGTGATATGCAAATTAATTGTCACACCCTCGCACAAGATGGCCTCCCCCATCTGGTCACAAGATGGTTGCCACAAGATAGCCAGCAGCGGAGAGTAGTTGTAGGCAATCAGGCCAGCAGGGGAGGGGAGGTGATAATTCCCAGGTAAGAAAAGTTGTCATATATATGAAAACTGAGTAGTAATTATAGTGCATGCATGTCTTGCAAGCAGGTTTGTCATTGTCCAAGTTCATAGAACAAAATTGTCTTTGAAGATAAGTAAGTTTTTAATGATTTGGGGTCTTTTAATTTGGGACCTTGTACCAATTAATATCTAATAAATATCTACTGAAAGAATGAATCAAGAGATTGCTCTTGGCCAGCCTTTGGTTGATCAACGGAGTAGTTCTAAATTCTTTCTTTGACCCAACCTCTGACCTCAGGAACACACCACTATTAAAGTACAAAATTCAACTAGGTACATTTAAAGATCTAATTGGCTTTCTTAAGTAATTCATTAAGTCTACACCAGTCTTCCATGTAACTGCTTTAAAAAAAAATCAAGTATAGCCATCATTCACTTTCTTTGGCTAAATCTTGGAAAGACTGTCTTGGCGATCAAATTTCCCCCCTAACTAGCAGTGATTTAATGGACTTATCTCATGGAAATATAGATAATAGAGAGAGATTGAGAAAGGTCATTTTTAGTATAATCCCCAGCTGATAAACTAACACAGAATAGCAAATAGTAACAGTGAAGGAGATGCCAGTTCACTGCACTCTGTTCTTTAGAATGGATACACTTAATTAAAGGCTCCCTGTTATAACCCTGCGCAACTATACATCTCATGAAATCCATTCACTTATCATTCTAATTTGCCAACTCCTTCATAGTTCCATCCACAACTGGCCAAAATGCTACATATTCCAACCAGTTAAAAATGCAGCAGGTTACAATTCCCCATGTTCTAGATAGAACCTACACTTTTGAAATGATTTCAGATCATATTAGCCTTTTGTTTTAATATTGGTTTTTATTGGTAACTTATTAGCCAGCCAGGTCTCCCATCCTTCATGAACAGGTATGACTTTTAAAAACAACATTTTAAAAATGTTGATTTTGTGAAATAAACATCCACACACTACATTTAACCTTGTTAAACTTTACCTAAATTATGTTTCCATCTTACTGTTCCATTAGAAACATTTCCTAAGCTAGTCATCATATTAACCATCCTAGCTTTTCTGTCATTTACAAATCTATTTAATAATAATATTTCTGCTATGTCTTTATTCAAATCATTTGTGGAATTATTAGGTGCCTCGGAGAATAGAAGCCTATATGAACACCAGTAGAGATCCCTGTCCAGGTTGACATTTATTTTCAATAATTTACTTATTTTAATAATTCAAATGCATTTATTAAGTTCCTATTAAAGAGTGTTCACTATATGTGGCATTGGAAATACTGTTGTTAATAAGACAGACACTGCCCCTACCTTATGATGTTTGGAGTGGTCTACAAACAATTGAAATAATTAAAATAAAGTGAAATAAAAATTATTATAGGATAAGTAAAACGACAATCTATGGCTAAAGGAGCAACTTAGTATAAGAAATCTAAAATGAATATTCTTCAATACAATGGTTTATTCAACTGAAAATGTGCATTTCATCAAGCCATATCTGCTCCACAAGGATATCATATACAGCAATTGTAAATGCTCTACTTAAATCAAGATACACAATATCTAGAATCATGCCTGGCACATAATAGACTCTTTTTTTAAGTGTTAGTTAATGACATGTCTAACAAGTTCCCAGTGATACCAGGGCCACTGGTCAATGGAAAACACTTTAAGTAGCACGAATTGGTAGAATCTCCCATTCCACCTCCTTGACAATTGGGATAACATTTGCCTGTCTCTTGTTTGGCTCTTTTCCTAACCACCCTGCATTCCTAATGATAGATATAAAGTATCTCAATGATAATTGTGATAACGCTTGCACATTTGTGTTTTTTTTATTTAATACGTTGGAATAAATTTCATCTGTAGATTAGACTAGTTTTCATTTTGTAACTAATTGATCTTGTGCTGGTTTGATATGGGTTTTAGGTCCTTTAATATTAATCTTTTACAACCCTATTACTTCTCTCCTAAGAAAGAGGAATGAGTAAAATAGAAACCAGCTGGACTTGCTTTATGTCTGCAATTGATAAAATTGAACAGAAGTCAAGTCACCAAGGACCTGGAATATGTTAGGGTCAGCTTCAGACTATAAGCTAGGATTCTTGATTTCTTACTTATTCTGTTGGTACACCAGAATTAAAGTCCTTAGTTTCCATATTTTTATCTTAACACTTAGCCCACAATGCCTCCTCCTCTGATTCAATAAATTACAATAAGAACCAAGTATTTTCCTTGTTAGAGAAGAACTCAGAATGCGTTTCAGTTCTGTTGTTATACAGTCAAAGGAAAAGCCTAAAAAACATTTTAAGAAAGCCTAATAATCATTAACATTACTATGTTATTAAGTAACATATTTCATATTATTCAATACCTCAGAGGAGAAACAATGTAAGGAGGAAGAGTTAAGGAGAAGGTGGAGGAGGAGGAGAATGGTAGTAGTTGTAGTAGTTTAAGAGATACTAACAAAAGATTTAAATGTGATTTCCCATTTACTGTATCATTTTAAAGCTAGTGATTATTTAAAACGGAATTCTTGTACAATTATTTTTATTCACATTATTATAATCACTTTTCCCAATAAATAACAATTACTATTTAATAGGCTTGTCCATTTCCAAAAAGCTCAAAGTTGAGAAAAATGAAAACAAATCAATTAGCTATCACTTTCAAGACAATCCCCAGCATACAGACTCAGAGGAATGGCAGGTAATGATGAAGGAAAAAGCCATTCATTAAATTCTTTCATTTAGATCAATGGCCACCTCTAACACCTCCAGTCAGAATCCTAGAGAACTGAACAGCTGGAATAAGAGCAGAAGCAGCCCATTGCTCATGGAATTCCCTGGGCTCCCTGCCCCATTCAGATCCCATATCTGTTTTCCTTCAAAGTTGAACCTCAGACATTTTTCTTTGCCAATTTCCTTACTCGGTTTCCAGTGATTTGATGTTATATTTTGGTTTTAATTTACCCAATCAACACCAACACAACTGATGGGAGATGGAGAGTAACTGGATCTCATCTAGCCTCTTTTGCAGAAGAGTACTCTGCTGAGAGCTAGGATTCTGTGTTCTGTTCTCAGTCCTGCCAGTCTGATCAACTGTGGAATCTTGGGCAAATCAGTGAAGCCACAGTCTCCTCAGAGGATTGTCATGAGGAACAAGTGACACATGTGTAAGTGGCAATGACTATGGGAGACAGTTGGTACAATATGAAGATTTGGATTTGGAGGGCTTGCATTCCAGCCCTACCCTGAAAAAGCTATATTACTTTAGGCCCCAGGTCGGCAAACTGCGGCTTGCGAGCCACATGGGACCCTTTGGCCTCTTGAGTGTGGCTCTTCCACAAAATATCATTGCCTGGACAAGTCTATTTTGAAGAAGTGGTGTTAGAAGTTTAAGTTTTAAAATTTGGCTCTCAAAAGAAATTTCAATCGCCGTGCTGTTGACTAATGAGTTTGCCAACCACTGCTAGGCAATCCCTCATGTACAAAATGGGAATAACTAGTCTCCGCACCTGTCTCAGGTGTGTTCTTTGAAGGCTGAATAGAACAGAAATTATAAAATGCCTGATATAAAACAGGCTATCAATAAGTGATTGTTACTTAAAGGCACTGTAATTCCTTATAAGAGATGACATTTAAACTATACAGGAGTAACAGGGGACAAGAACTCAAAAGTATACCAACATTCTATTCTCCCTTGCCTATAATTTATTCCTCTGTTTCGCTCTTGTTGCTTTTAAGGTGGAACCATTTGGTAGAACAGATGAGACTGATTTTCATATTGTACATTTAGAATCAATATCATGAATTTGACCTTAAAGCAACTACAAGCCACACATCTGCAGAGGGTTTTTTTTACATGTAAATTTAAAACATTAAAATGTGTAGTTTGCATGAAATTTAAATGGAGTTATACTGGTTTATACAAAATTTATGTTATTGGCCTAATTTATTTTTGTGCGCTTATGGAAATGGAGAAGTTTTCATCACTAAACCACCATCATGAAACCAAAAGGAGAAGAAGAAAAAAAGGAAGAAAGGGAAGGAGTGGGAAAGGAAGGGAGGGAAGAACAGATGGAGGGAACACACAGACTTGCATTAAAAGTAAATCCAAGAAATCACAAATAGCCTTAACATTACCATCCAGGAAAGTCTGTTCAAGATAATCAATGATCTGAGTGGCCTCACAAATAATGCTTTCCCCGTGGATAAGGACGGGCACTTCTCCAGTTGAGTTCAAACGCATAAACCAAGGCTCATTGTGCTCACTCAGGGGCAGACTTACATCATGTTCCTCGCACTTCAGTGCCTTTTCAGCAATTACCAAGCGCACCTGGAAGAGGTCACACTGGTTACCACAGAGCATGGGGGCTTTCCATTCAATGGCATCCCTGGAGACCACTAGGCAGCTTTCCTGTGCTTCCCAGAGTTATTAATGTTTTCAACATCCTCTTTAGCTACAATCCTGTGCAGAGTGACTATCGTTGGGTCAACGACAGACTGCATATATGATAGTGGTCCCATAAGGTTATAATGAAGCTGAAAATTCCTATCCCTTGGTGATGTCATAGCCATCATAGCACAACATGTTACATGTTTGTAGTGACGCTGGTATAAACAAACATACTACACTGCCAATCTATAATTATGTATGTGCGTACTATTATGTACAGTACATAATAATACCTGATAATGACACTATATGATTGTGTTACTGGTTTGTGTATGTACTATACTGTACTTTTATCCCAGTATTTAGAGTTTACTTGTAAAACAATATGTCATGTCACACCAGCAGCAGCCTCATAATATATTGTTTTTAACCTGTCTCTTAATTGCCTCATTTTCTCTTGTGTGTAAATTTGATCTCATGTAGTTTTGTACGTGAACATGCTATACAGGCTTGTAGCCTAGGAGCCATACACTATACCATGCAGTCTGGAATGCAGCAGGCTAGTACCATTTAGGTTTGTGCATGTGCTGGTCTCAGAGCAACAGAGTCGCCTAACAATGCATTTGTCAGGACCTGTCACTGTATTCCTGTTCTAGGATTAACAAGTCAGATATAATCCGGCGTCTTGCTCCTATGAATTAGAAAAGACCAGTAATGACCATGACTCTGGCTGCAATAATTCAGTCACCCTCCCCATCACCAATACTTCCTTTGTGCCCTAAACCTGATTATACCCTCCCCAAAGAAGAAACTGCGATACAGACAGGCTAGACCTTGTGGAAGAGAAGGGATGGGAACAACATGGAGTAAAATCTGGGTCTGGGCTATTGCAAAGCGCTTCCCTCTGCCTCCCTCTGTGAGGCCCAGGGGACAAGGCCTCCAGCCCCAACACCGAAAGTGATGCTTTTGGTCTTGTTCCATGAGTGGCAGCGCCTCGGGCATCGCCTTTCCATCTCAGGCAGATGCTCCCTCGTCCCCCACTAAGAAGCACCCCTGCCCTGGAGGGAGCTTTGGTGGGGTCAGGGTCTGGGAGGCCTATTGCCAGGTGGGCCAGTGCGGGCCAGGCCCCGAGAGAGCTGTCCTGGTGCTGAAACCCGATCCTCTCCGCCCTCCACCCGGCTGAGGCCTTTACCTTTTGGGAGCTGAAGGAATGTGTCCAGTGATACAGAATGAGCTTAACCTCCGCCTCCGACTTGCCTTCCGCCGTCAAGGGCGCGCCCCCTCCCTGCTCATCCTGCATCTGAGCCATTTCGAGGTGCTCTCTCTGTGTTTCTCCCACCCGCACTGCCCAGCAAAGCTTGGGTCGTTTTCCCGCGATGCCTCTCTGAGCCTGGAAAGCGAGTTCGTGCGCACGGGCCGCTGGGAAGTGTAGTTTCTGCAGCCAGAAAATTGTGGGGCAGCGTCTGCAAAACTGGGGTGTATGTGAGCCAGAAAGCCTCTGGGACACGGGAGTCACATTTTTTTTAGAGGAAACAACCAAAAATGAACCCCTGGTTATTAAAGTGGGTAATGAACAATGTTGGTAGCAAAGTACTTGTTGGTTTTGGAGATGGAGTAGAGGTTGCTCAGATATAAAAACAGCAATTTTCCAGGATTTTTAGAGTTCCTCTGGGAAAGCCCTGCCTTTGGCAAAGGGGAAGTTCCAGTTGCCAGACAAAGCAACAGGATAAGGATCTAGGTGTTGTCATTAGAAGAAGCTACTATGGAGTCATGCAAAATAATTTATCATTTTTTAAAATTTTTATTTATTTCAGAGAGGAAAGGAGAGGGAGAAAGAGAGAGAAATATCAGTGATGAGACAGAACCATTGATTGGCTGCCTCCTGCACGCCCCCCACTGGGGATGAAGCCTGAAACCTGAGCATGTGTCCTGACTAGGAATTGAACCATGACCTCCTTGTTCATAGGTCCACGCTCAACCACTGAACCATGCCAGCTGAGTCAAACTAATTTATCATTATCATCATCACCATCATAAATAACTAATACATAATAGTGAGGAAAAATAGTTTAGTTGTTAAATACAGAAATTCTGAGGAAAGATCTACCTGAATTCATGTCCTGATTTTCCAATATTCTCCATTTTTGTAGTGGAGATAATTTAATACCCTAATAAGATTTTGAAGACAATTAAGTAACTAAATACAATGTTAAAAACTTAAAACAGCCTGGCATGTTGTACGTACTCGATGTTATTCACAGGTTCAGTTGACTTATAAACATTCTCTTTATAGGCATGGTCAGAATCATAATTTTATACTAGTCTAGTTATTGTACACCTCTTAAATGTATCACTAGTAAATTAATGTACTAATATGACTGTGGGTGTTGTATAATGCATTCAGCAAATATTTACTGAGTACCTACTATATTCCAAGCATTATGCCGGCACTTGGAATGCAAAGATATGTAAGACCTGATATCTGGCACTCAGGATATAAGATTGGTGGCAGAGACAAGAAATAAATAGATGACCATAACAGAGATAAGATCTATATGTAAGTACTAAAAGGAATCAAAGTCAGGTATCCAACTCAAGTTTAAAAAAGGGAGCCAACAGTTCTTTTGAGTCCCAATTTCAATGTCAAATAGTTCCTTATGTGAACATGTCAGCCATGATATTTCAGATCTGGTTGGTGGGCAAACCATTATGGATTGTCGCAGTTTAGGTTCTTACAAGGATATTTCTTGGATCACATGATCTCACACATCTAGAGGAAATAATATACAACATAAACTGAGGAACAAAAACAGACTCAGAGAAAGAGAAACAGCAATCAGACTCTCAAATCTCAGAGGGAAAGTAGGGGAAAGATGGGGGTAAGAGGAAGAAATCAACCAAAGGACTTGTGTGTATTCATGTGGGCCTAGCCAGTGGCCATGGACAACAGGGGGGTGGGGACATATGTAGGGAGGGGTTTGGGATGGGAATGGGGGAATAAGGACAATTATGTGATACCATAATCAATAATAAATAAATAAATAAATAAATAAATAAATAAATAAATAAATAAGTAAATGGGGGGCACGCTTGGAAGAGACAAATCTCATAATGTCCCTCTTCCCTTTCCAATACTTCCCACTAAAATCCACTTGTATGTAATAGAAAAACCTTGTTATCCACTCACATGTTTATTCAGAGCTTCTGCTAAGTCATGCTGTGTGTCTTTGTACATTAAGTTAAAATGTGGGCTCCTGGGGAACAGGACCCAGATCCAGGTCAGTGTGCACTTGCTGAGCTTTCCCTCTTTCAGGAACAATGCTAGAAGCAGAAGAGATGGAGTTGAAAGTCACAATAGCTGGCCAAATGAAGTCAAGTGTGGGGAGGGAGGGAGATGAAATTATAACACAGCGTGGCCATTGCTTGGATATCTAGGATCTTGTGATAGGAGTGTAGAGAAAGACTCCTAACATAGAGGCTTCTCAGAAGAGGTGATGACTTTTACCATAACTAGTACCATACTGGTGCAATTCCCAACATATCTAGTGTTGGGCTACCTCTGGCTCATACAGGCTGATAAGAGCTGACTGCTGAATTTTAAGGAATTTTGCAAGCTGGATATTCAGCATAGCCAATATTAAAAATGAAATAAAATTGAATTACATTTAAATAATTTTAAAACAGAGCTAGCAAATACTCAAAACTAATTACTTCCTAAATCATTTTGCAATGTTCATTATTGTCTATACTCTTGAAATTATATCATATATAAGGGTGTGTGGATATGTATCTCTTCCTAACTCCCTGTTCAGTGATATCATGTTAGTAGCCTGAAATTGGCCATCATAGAGGTATTTAAACTATAGCAATTGGCCAGTGCTATCTATTATATGTTTGTTTTCCAGAGAATTGGTTGTTAAACATTTACCTGCACACTGTGGAGTGTATGAATTTTATTTAATGTTTAGTAAATTGTTTTGATGATGATGATGATAAATCTGAGAATGAATGAGTTTGTATATTAATCTGCTTTTGGTACCTTTTCCTGTCCTGACAAGCTTAGTTCTGCTTCTTTCCCCTTGACTCAGACACTCCTTACAACATTTTTATTCTCTTCACTGTACTTAGTATGTACTATCTGATCACAATCAAACACAGCACTTTCTCTAGCACATCTTCCCAGCAGGAAAAAAAAAAAAAAAAAAAAAAAAAACCATAAGCCCAGGAAAACTGAATGAATTGATTATTGCAGTGATGTTTCATATTTATAATACCCTATAGACAAAGTATAATGTAGAACTTCATCTAAAGACCACAGGCCAATTTCTTGCAGTTTCATATGATCCCTCTGATAGTCTGAGGTAGCTACCATCCCTAATTTATAACTGAGGAAAATAAGGTTTCATGACAAAAAGACTGATCCAAAATCCTGATAAGTGGAAAAGCCATATCTCAAACACAACTTTTCCGACTCCTAGTCAGGTATTATTTTCAACTACACTATGCTAGCTCTAAAACCAAAGACAAATTTGTGGACTTTCAAGTTTTGCAAGGCGGGGAAAATATTGCCACCTTCTTGAAATAACTCTACATGGGTATATATACTTTTATTGAAGCACAAACTACAGTATCAGAAACTACTGTTTTTATGTCTTTCTTGTGCATTAGATTCAGAGCTTTGTAAGGTCGAGGCCCAATATTCATTGTATTGTCCCCAGGAATCCAAATTAATGCCTGGTACATGAAAGGTATTCTAAAACTGCTTATTAATTAATGGAGCAAGAGTAGATCACCAACAACAGCCAACTAACAACAATAATGATAAAATATAGCCTGTTTAGTCTACTGCTCTCAAAATTCTCTGTGTATAGGTATTTTCTTTTGACAGAATTTGGTATTTACAAATTTGGACTGGAAATTATGCCTCTGTAAATTGATTGTCTTTTATATTAATACTTATTGAAATTCTTCATTCATTTAAATATTCCTACATAAATGAAGTTAAAATGAATTTGACTGATATTTTAAAATAGCAGATCACATAACCTCTCTGAGCCTGAGTTACCTTACCTATAAAATTACAGTAGAAAATCTATCAAGCATACTGGCTAGACAGAGAGATCCAGTTCAGGAAATTTCTTTGAGTTAGACAATTAGGATTTGTTCACTTTCCTTTATGCCTTTTGCTTCAATCAGATTTTAAATTACAATCTAGAACTGTTATGGCAGACTGATGTATATATTTATAAAAGTTACTGTTATGTAAAGTCCTAAAATCCTATTACTGATCTTATATATTTTGATAGGTATGATGGGATAGATATAATTTTATAATGTATTTCAACAAAGTCAGAGTTCTTGAAACCTTTTGACAAAGTGGAACACTCCAGGTTTCTATTTTTTAAAGTACTTTTATGAATGACCACAAGAGGTCTCTATTTTTTAAAGAAAAATCAATCCCCAGCTATTTTCTTTCTTGGCAATTAGAATATAGAAACATCTCTAGTCGCTAAAGAATATATTTAACTAATTAAGCTATCTAGTTCAAAATCAAAATTTTCAAATTGGAAAAAATATTTTATATACTAGTATATGTTTTTTAAAAAAATAGAATTTCCACTTTCTCCCGAGAGTAGCAACATTAATATTAACCAAGCACCCAGAGTTTGCCTGTTCCATCCTGACCCATGCTTACAAAGAATCTCAAATGCTTTGAAGTGGGTATATATATGCATAAAAAAAGAAAATAAAGGGGATATTTAGAAATTCGTTTTTAGAATTTTTATGTCAAATATGAAGCATTCTTACTATCTGATATTCTTGAGCATCTACAAAGCTCAAAATATTATCTAATCAAGGCTCACCTTCATACATTAATTTGGTGATAGAGTTGTGATGGTTCTAGCTGGTTGACCGGAACCCTAATGAACTTGACTCCTGTGTTTTATTTATCTTCATAGTGAGGCCCCCCAGACAAACAACAGCAACCGGGAACTTGTTACATCTTAATGAATCAGAAAATTTGGAGGCAGAGCCCAATAACTGGTGTTTTAAAAGCTCTCCAGTTTTTTAAACTGATGGGGGAAAAATGTCCATCAATTTTTTTATATATATATTAAGCTTGAAAATTGTCAATTTAGTATAGAATTAATGAATCATTCCAATTTTCAGTTCCTAGTTTGCCCCATCCATGAAACCTCAGGAGCAGAATGGTGTATGAAACTCAAAGGCTGACTTATGGTAGCTGGGGGAAAAAAGGTTAGATAATCTGTAACCATTTTCATAAAACAGCCTGGTTAAAAAAAAAAA